TGAGAGGGAGGGAGGAGAGAGAGAAAGGGAGAGTGTGTGTGTGTGTGAGAGAGAGAGAGAGAAGGAGAGAGAAGTGTGTGTGTGTGTGTGTGTGTGTGAGAGAGAGAGAGAGAGAAGGAGAGAGAAGTGTGTGTGTGTGTGTGTGTGTGTGTGTGAGAGAGAGAGAGAGAGAGGGAGGGAGGGAAGGAGGGAGGGAGAGGTGTTTGTGTGTTTCTCCCGTTTCTTGACCTGACTAGCCTGCTTTTTGGTACATCATCTGTCTTTGGTTCTGTACTTTTCAGCTATCTGTCACTACCTTTATGAATTTCCGAAGCTTTTCTTTCTCTCTTGGGGAAAGGATCTGTTTCTTATCCTGACTTTCCCTCTTAACCAGGTCACATGGGAGCAACTTGTAGTCTACCATTTTACTGCAAGACAAAGCCAGATTGCTTATTTGGCCCCAAGCCTCAATTTGCTATTCTGTTAAATACTTAATAGATTGTTGAAATGATAAAGTTGAATAGGATTTGCTCTTCTCCCCCACCCCCCAGATATTCTCACCATGTAGATTAGGATGGCCTGAAATTCACTAAGTAGCCCAGGTTGTCTTCAAATTCAAGACCCTCCTGCTTTTCTCTCCTGAGTACTGGGATTACAGGGAGTGCCACCACACCCAGTGAGGAATTACTTCTGCATTATCGCCAGCCTAAATTGTGCTAACAAACTTTCCACTAAAAACAATTGTTTAGGTCTTTTGTTGGATAAATACTTAAAGACATCAACAGTTAACATATTCAGTCTTCCAGCTGGCAGATGTGCAGGTAACAGCTAAATTGCCATTCTCTGTAGTCCTAGCTTTAGTGCCGGACAATGTAGCACAGTCATGCTAAGTGTTACAAAGTTAACAAGTAGGTTCTTGCGACCTTTAGATTCTTGTTAGAAATATTAGAAAATTGGGTTTTGTATGTGTGGTCATGATACATTTGTCACTATTCCAATGCATTTAAATAGTGTAGTGTACATAAAACTGTTGTGTATTCCTGACAGCCTAGTGGCTTTCAGGGAGAATTCAGCAGTGTCTGCTGTGTGCTCTGCTTTAGTGATCTAATCTCAGCTCCAGCAGTGACTCACTTTAAAGACACCAAAGAAGCTTTTACCTCTCTGGTTTCTCATGCCTTTATTTAATTAATGCTTACAGCTGCGTTTGCAAAGGTGGAATTGTGATACCAACCACGTGGGGCATTATAATGCGATGCTTGGTCCTAAACTACAGACACTTGAAGTTAAAGTCTATGAGTTGATTTCTAAGAAATTTTTCCACTTTTCTTTCAGTTTATATACAAGAACACTTTACCTGAGATACAGGCCAAAAGTGAAGGTAAGTCTTGCTGTGAGGCAGGGTGGTGGTAGAAGATGAAGTGGATGTGAGAGACAAAGGGGCTATGGAGCGGTTGAGGGGCAGCAGACATCAGTTCTGAAGTGCTCGCTCTCCATCTTCTACTGTGATCTTAGAGAAGCAGCTTCTTTAGACCCAAGTCACTTCAACAGAGTGGAGCTGTTGGTAGCTACATTACAGCACTATTTTAAGACTTTAAGATTAAGGGGCTGGGGAGATGGCTCAGCAGTTAAAGCATGTTCTGTTCTTTCAAAGGACCCACGTTCCATTCCCAGCACCCATGTCAGGTGCCTCACAACCACCTCTAGCTCCAGCTTTGGGAACCCAGTGCCCGCTTCTGACTTCCATAAGCACTGTGTTCATATGTGTGCATGTGCACACAGGTCCGCCCCCCAGTTCCTTTAGGAGTTACAGATTACGTGCCTGCTTCATTTGCATAGATGAAGTGAAGGTAGATTTTGAGAGCTGATGTCAGGAAGGCCTTGCTGTGCTCAGGCTGCTCATACTAACAGCCTAACACGTGTGACCGTGCAGACCCCAGCCTAACACATGTGGCAGTGCAGACCCCAGGACGTGTCATAATAACAGCCTAACACGTGTGACCGTGCAGACCCCAGGACGTGTCATAATAACAACCTAACACGTGTGACCGTGCAGACCCCAGGACATGTCATAATAACAGCCTAACACGTGTGATCGTGCAGACCCCAGCCTAACACGTGTGACCGTGCAGACCCCAACCTAACACGTGTGACCGTGCAGCCCCCAGGACGTGTTAATCCTCCTTCCTCTTCAGGTGGCACAGAGCAGTCTCTCCTCTCATCCTGTCCTCACCTGTCTCCACAGTTTCTCTTGGGGATCTGGCCCATGGTCATGTTTGAACCTCAGAAGAAACACTGATGAATTCTTCTATCAAGGAAACAAAAGCACCTGCTGTAGCTCTGGCAAGATGGCCCAGAAGTCCCCAAAGACTCGCACATTCAGACACCATGCCCGTCACAAGAGGTGGATGACTCAGCCGCACAGAATGAGCGTCGGTTTGTTGACTGTTTAGCTCCTGGCTTTATCTCATTTGTCTGTGACCTAAGATGCTTACAGAGAAACTGATGGGTGTATATTTATATTCTAGAATGGGAGAAGTTGGACTTTTCTTAGCAGGTTAACAGTCTGTGCTGGTCATTCATGAAAAAGTTAATATTTTTTATTTTTTTTTTACAAGAGTTGCATGTTAATTATATCTTTCCTAATTGTTGATTAAATATTGAACAAAGTCATTAAGGACTGGCAAAATCCCATTTCCAGATGGTTGACTGTGAGCCAGTACTTAGCTGTGTCAGCTTTGATTTATATTATTATATTAACCTCACAGCTTCCTGGGTAGCCCCGCACTACCTGCCTTGGTGCTAGCTGGGGCGCTGTAAGCAGACTCCGACCTGCCCGTGAGTGGGCTCTGTTCGGGCTCTGGCCCACAGCCAGTCGAGGGGGCGGGCCGTCTGTCTGTCATTCCGCTGGGAGTTCTTTCAGGGCTCCTATCTTTCACCAGTTAAAGTCTGTTGTTTTGCTTTGTTTAATTTTCAAGTTATTATTATTTTTGCATCTAGCAAATTTATCTGGTGGCCTGGCCTACCCATATTCTGTATGCCAGCATAGTTTAAATGAAGTTACCAGGGGAAGTTGGACATTTTTTACTTCTTGCATTGTGCAGTATTTCCCAGTTTTCAGAGAGGTCATGGCTATACCCAGACACATGTCAGATTAACTCCAGTAAAACGGTCAGTACTGTTTTGCATAAAGCTTATTAAAGTATTTGCTCCTTCATTTTTTGAGGAGAAGAAATACAAGTATTGAAACAGTACTGACTTGTAACTTCTCAGCATCTAAAACTTAACAAGTCAGTAATAGCAGTAAAATCTCATGGGGAGGCAGATAGGCCTAATTTGGATCTCAGTGTCAAGAAATTGAATTGATTGTCACAAACAATAAATGAAAGATCATATATCTATTGATTGCATCCTGAGCTATGGCTTCAAAAGAAAAGTAGGGGTTTTTTTCTCATGCAAAATTGATAAAAACAACTTTCCCATTTTCCCAAGAGTAATTAAGAAGCCTTAGCCTGGCAGGGTGATGCACGCCATTAACCCCAGCACTCAGGAGGCAGAGACAGGCAGATCTCTGAGTTTAAGGCCAGCCTGGCCTACAAAGTTCCAGAACACCTACAAGGTGTTCTTGAGACTGTGGAGACCGGGATTTCAAACAGACAAACAAAAAGCATTTGGTTCTTTAGGTAGTCTTGGTACATTTTTAAAACCAACATTAAACAAGCATACCTTTTATAAAAGCAAGACATGCCAAAACATAAATCTAATGGCTTAGAGGTATAGGTGGCCTTGTCTTCAAGGTGTTCTTGAGGCTGTGGAGACTTGTGTCTCAAAAAACAAAACAGCAACAATAAAAAACAAACAAATAAAAAGCATTTGGTTCATTAGGTACTTTTGGTACTTTTTTAAAACCAAAAATGTTTCCCAGATGGCCATTAAAGAAACACACCTTTTATGAAAGCAAGACATGCCAAAACATAATCTAAGAGAACCTCAGTTGTACTTTCACTGTAGACATGGGTCAGAGTCCAGAGTGTGCCCACTGAGATGCCCGGGAACTGTGTCCTGGAACAAGAGTTGGAGCAGAGACACATGGATAGCGATGGAAATAGAGACCTTTCACTAGGAATAGGACTGGCAAAGGTCTAGGACTGAAAGGTCCTTGGCCAGCAGAGCCTCTGTCCTGTGTAGCACATTTACACGGCCTCCATCTTTCTGGCAATTAGAGAGGTCGGGCTTATTTTAAAGCATACTGTTTTGTTATGCATATACCAGAGTTGGAAAGGTTTCCAGTCTCCCCTGGTGTGGTTTCTGTTTGTTTGCCGCCAGAACTTCCTGTTCGCCTACCTACCTCACTCTACCCCATCCTCAGAGCTGTGGTAAGGGGCTAAAGGATAATAGCCTATTTGTGTAATTTCCATGCTGATGAGGAATATAGTCCTTGCCAAAGAGAGACCACAAAGCTCTCTTTCTGTTGTTTCTATTGGTTGGAGAGGAGGCTTTGGAGGACTTGAATCCCTGTATCATAATGAGCTAAGTTTGAAATTGTCATATCCTAGAAGACACGAATTGTACAGGATTAAAAATGCAAGAATTTGAGCTGAAGAGATGGTGTAGCAGTTGAGAGCACTGATTGCTCTTGCAGGGAACCTGGGTCTGATTCTCAGCACCCACACGGTAACTCACAACCTTCCATCCCTGCAGTTCCTGCGGCTCTAGTGACCTCCAGACACACACATGGTACACATACGTATCTACAAGCAGAACATCCATACACCTAAAATAAATAAATCTCTAAAAAGTTGTCAGTGCAAGAACAGTATGATTATACCAGAAGTGGCCCCAGGAAGGACCTGAATCAGGAAAACCAAAGCTATGTTTGTGTAAATTGTTCTGGATATGATCCTTTAGACTGCTAAAATACAAAGCAAAACAAAACCACATACACACACACACAAACAAAAAACCCAACTGATGGTTATATATTGAGATCATGGTAAAATACAAAAAAACAAAAACAATTTTTAGGGAAAAATCCAATAGTAGAATAGATTAAAGAAAAGATACTATGGATTGTAACCACAGTTACCAACAGTGCCAAAAGAAAAAAAAAGCAAAACATACAGTTGTAATTACTGATAGATTTGTAATAATTTATCTTTGCCTTTAAGAAGTTAAAGCATCCCATTTGTTGTCTTTAAGTCCTTCAGCCTTTTCATAGCTTAGAGGAGTAGGTGGCCTTGTCTTCAAGTCTTGAGTCTGTGGAGACTTGGGTCTCATGGACCCTGGTGCCACTTCCTTAGAATGAGCTCCACAGGCTGTATCCGTCTCCAGATGTCTAGTGCCCGTCTTTAACCAGCTTTAATGCCCTGCCAGCTGCAGTCTGTTGTCTCTGCCCAGGCTCGCCAGAGAAGTAAGACTGCACTAGGGCACTGCGTTCTAACCACAGTAAGGGAGACTTCCCTGTTTGGGTAAGACTTAATAATATGTCCTTTTTATTACACAGAGTAAGTATACCCAGTCTGATGTTACTGCTTGGTGATATCGTAACTCCTATAATTTTCATTTTGGAAAGGAAGTTCAACTTAAAGCTCTTTGGCAAATCCATCCGTCATTCTAGATGTAGCTCAGCCTTACTGGAGTCTCATCCATCACTGTACAGTAAGAGCACTCTTGTAGGAGGAGCCCGTCCAGCAGAAGAATTCTCAGCACAGCGTCCAAAGAATTGGGTCAAAATAGAGCATTTTCATGCTGTTTTATTTTTGTTACCCTTGACTTTTTTTTAAAAATAAAATAAAGTTTTAATTTTTTCCAGAACCAGTTTGGAAGACAGTCTTTATTAAAATCTCTGCGTCCCGTGCAATGACTTAGTGGGCTTTCCTGCTGTGGTGCATGCGTAGTGTTCATTTCATATACACAAATGTCACGTCAGGGGCTCATGAAACATTTGATAAGCAAAAATTACAATTTTAATAGGTTTCAGGGAGTTAGGAGTATATTTATCATAAGGCAGTATGTATTTATCAGGCCTTTTAATATGTCTCTCACACGTTCATGTTTACCCACATTTAAATCCGGCCTGGCATTGAGGCTGAGAGCATTTGTTGCCCTTGCAGAGGACCTGGGTTCAATCCCCAGCACCCTCAGGTGCTCATGACCTCATAGCTCCAGTTCCAGGGGGCCCAGTGCCTCTGCTGAGGGTGACAGCCATCCATGTGTGCACTGTGTACATGCAGGCCAAACACTTGTACACATAAATCTTAAAAACAAAATTAGTCATACTAAGAGAAGCACACAATAAAGGTTTTTAAATGATAAATGAGATGCTCACAGGCTTAAGTTCTTCCTCAGAGTGAAAAATGACAAAGGAATTGCACGGAGACAGTTTGTGCAGTGAATAGACACGACGCAGAATAGTCGTGGATTCATATAATAATTCAAGAGGATTCATATAGCAGAATTAAACTCCACCTCTTTGAGATATAAGAAACATTTAGTGAGAGGAGATAGTTCCAAGGTAAAGCTGTAAGGTAGGATTAATTTTCCTTTCCTTTCTTGTTTAAGAGTTAATAATCAAGAGAGGTCACCTTCACAAAGGGAAATTTTTAGAATGGGATCTCTTCTCTCTTTAGGTTTATCCTTAAATAGACTGCACAATTCTTTTTTTTTTTCATAGAAAATTTTGTTCTGTTTGAAGGTAAAGAAGGAAAAGGAAAAGTTGGCAGAAAACACAGCCAGAGAATGCCTAAATTCTTTTTTTTTAAGAATTTATCTTTAGTTCTTACACAATCTTTCAACTTTTTGTTAATTTCTTACTCATTTTTTAACATTTCTTTATTTTAGATGTAGATTTAAAACTCTTATTAACTGTAAATTAAAATTTCAGTTTTTTCTTCAGATGTTTTAAATGTTCAATTAGGCCTGGTGGCAGTGGCACACGCCTTTAATCCCAGCTCTCAGGAGGCAGAACCAGGCGGATCTCTGTGAGTCTGAGACCAGCCTGGAAGCAGAGTAAGTTCCAGGACAGTCAGGGCTACACAGAGAAACCTTGTCTCGAAAAACCAAAAATAAAATAAAATTTCAGTTAAAGTAAGCTATCCATTTGTCATTTTTAATTGTTGTTATCCAGATCTTCCAGTTTAGTGTGTGTGTGTGGGGGGGGTCAAATATTCCCTATTTTGGGAAGCATAAAATCAAATTATCTTTAATTATATTTATCCAATTTTTAAATATTTATAACTTGAATTTATACAGCTACCAAACAAAACCATCTAGGGTACCAAATGTTCTTCCGTAAATTAGACACTAGAATAGGGGCAAGGAGATAAGAGGCTGAATGTTTGCAAATTAACAACCAAACATTCTAAAAACAAATTAAACCAAATGTTCTGAAACTACATGCATTGAAAACAAACACAGTGGACACCATACTGCCGACTGCTCACCAGCTCCGAGTAAACCAGTGGACTGTGGCCCAAACCAAGCAAGTCCAGGTCCCTGAAAAAGCTGACCAACATCTACTTAGGGAGGTAACACTAAGTGGTTGGGCATAGTGGGCACATTCTGGTACCTGACACTCGTCTCATCCTTGGAGCACCATGTTCAGGTGCCAGAGCTGCTGACGGGGCTGGGAAGACAGTTCAGGAGGTAGAGTGCTTACCCCCGTGCGTGTGTGAATCCCTAAGTTCAATTTCCAGCAACTCAAACACAACATACCTGACCTCAAACATGGAACCAAGCAAGTGACCATGACCTCGGAACAGATTAGATTCAGATTACCCCAAATAGTGTATTCCTACATGGTAACAGTTTTATAAAGTTTTTATAGTAGCAGAGCAGAGAAAAATCTTGGATCGTGGGGCTAGAGATGGTTTGATAGTTAAGAGCACTGTTCTTAGTTCTTAGCACCCACACCAGGCAGCGCCAACTGCCTGTCACTCCATTTTCAGGGCATCTGACATCCTCAATGCCTGGCTGGTGGCTTGCCAGATGTGTTACAGAGATCCATCTTCTCACGCCATAGGACACTCTTGGACCATCTTGCAGAGCCAGAATTGAGGAAAACACCAGTCAGATAATGTTTCTCTTCATTTTTTTTATGTAAGTCTTGAGCTCATGCCAAGGTGCAAAAGGGGCTTCAGGGACCATCAGATCCCTCTCTGTTCATTCTCTCAGCGTGACCATGTTTAAATCTGCTCTTTTTGGCTTGTGAGATGATATCGTATGTCAAGGCACATGTTTTTAAGCCTGATGACCTGAGTTTGACCGCCTGGATCCATGTAGTCGAAAGAGAACTGAATCTTGCAGGAAATTCTCTGACCTCTACTTGTGTCGTGGTACATACGTACACACTAAATAAATAAGTTTAACTAAAATTCCCTAACTATTACAGTCTTTAACTGGCATATTGGGAAAAGTGGCCAAGTTTAAACTTGAATGAACACCTAGATCTCACAGACGTAAATCCCACCCTAATCAAACATGCCATCCCCACCCCTTAGGACTTTGTCCCCACAGCCTTATATGCCCAGGCACGGTGGCAACAGGTCATTCTGCATCCAGTCCCTCCCATGAGCAGGGGATGAGGTGTGGGCATTTGAGAATGGCTTTGCCACAGCATAGGTGGCTTGGCCCACTGCCAGCGCATGTCATTGTGGGAACAGCAAAGGGATTCCCCAGGAGGGTTGCCAAAAGAGCACAGGAGCAGGTCTCTGCTCCTCTGGTCCAAGATTTGGCAAGTTCTAATTCAAAGGAACAATGAATTTGCCCTCCAACCAGCAATAAAGGAGTGCTCCCCTTGTTCCAGATCCTCTCTAGCATAAGATGTCATTTGTGTTTTGTTTTTTTTTTAGCTTAGCCATTCTGACAGATGTGAGATGGAATGACAGAATCATTTTGATTTGCGTTTCCCTGATGGCTAAGGAAAACGCCTTAGATGTTGAACATTTCTGTGTTTCTCCGCCATTTGAGATTCTTCAGTTGAGAATTCTCTGTTTAGACATGTACCCCATTTTTAGTTGGATTATTTAATATTGATGTCTGGTTTCTTGAGTTCTTCATATATTTTAGAAATCAGTCCTCTGTTAGAAGGGGTGTTGGTGAAGATCTTTTCCTGTTTGTAAGCTGCCGTTTAACCCTATTGAAAGAGTCCTTTGCCTTACAGAAGCTTTTCAGTTTCGGGGCTGGAGAGATGGCTCAGAGGTTAAGAGCATTGCCTGTTCTTCCAAAGGTCCTGAGTTCAATTCCCAGCAACCACATGGTGGCTCACAACCATCTGTAAAGGGGTCTGGAGCCCTCTTCTGGCCTGCAGGCATACACACAGGCAGAATATTGTACACATAATAAATAAATAAATATTTTTTAAAAAAAAAAAAAAAAGAAGCTTTTCAGTTTCATGAGATCTCATTTATTAATCGTCAGTCTTAGTGCCTGTGCTATTGGTGTTCTGTTGAGGAAGTCTTCTGTGCCAATGAATTCTGCTATGCCCAAATCCACGAAGTCCCTGCAAAAGCCAACAAGGAGACCGAGTCCCATACGTAAAAGCAAAGAGCCTTTATTTTAATCAAGTTTGAAAACTCAGTCTCTCTGCATGTTCAGGGTATTGGAATAAATGGAGAGTCCTGAGCTCAATTAGAATAGGGTTTTACAGTAGTGAAGGTGGGGGTGAGGGGTTTCTGAGGTTTTAGTACCCCTGATTGCCTGACATTTGTCTAGAGTGTCCTGGTGAATGTGCGCTGGCAGGTGGTCCAGTCTACAGCAGTTGGAATGTTAGGCATTTCCTTTGAATGGTCTGTTCTTGGGTGGTGCTCAGGTAATCTCAGTTTGTGGTCCTTCCTGCAACAAGGTATTGCTTCAGGGTAAACTACTGAGACCCAGGCCTCCATCTAAATTTACCAATGGCCGGAATTCTACTCTGGCAGGCGATAATGGTTGGAAGTAAAGAACATCCTTTGGGTGACCTGTCCATACTTAGCTTATCCTGACTGGCTCCCACATTTCCCCCTTCACGAGCACAGATGACAGGACTCAGTCTTGGGTCCTGCTTGCCCCTGGTTTTAAGGGAGCATGGAACTACTTAAATTATTTATCTTGTCCCCCATGCCAGGGAGTTTCTCCTTGTCTCAGCCTTTGAACCTATTTTGGTCAGGTATTGGGATGATGTGTTCCTTTCCACAACTACTTCAAGCTGACATTGGGGTGTTGTTATCCAGGCCCAAGCAGGTAAAAGGCTAGTCAAAGGTGGGGCGGGGGACATTTAGGCAATGGGGCACCCATCAGACTTTGTTGAAGGAACAGGGAGTGTTCATATCAGCTGGACTGGTCCACATCAGCTTTCAGGAAGTCCAGGGCTCACCACCATTCAGAGCAGGTTGTAGTCAGCAACTATGCTTAGATGTGTCTGTCTGCTAGCCAGGTGGAAGCCTATTGAGATAAGTTTAAACTGGGAACAGAGTTAAAATGAAACAAAAAAACCCATATTGTAGAAAAAGCAGATAACAGGTATCTACAATCAGAAGGAATGGACTCCTACCTTTGAGTCCTAGCAAAAACTACAGATTTTGGTTAGAAGCATGTATATTTTTCTGCTCTTCAGAGAACCATGTATGGTTTGACAGAGATGTCTTTGGTCCAATGAGAAACACCTTTAAGTTCATACTTAAATGGCAACCAGAATAGGTCTAAAATCTTGAGCTTGTGACCCACACAGTAAGTAGTCACTGCTCTATCAGCTTATTAGAACTACCATGGGAGGGAGTTAGAAGCATTTTTCATATTGTAAGTCATTTCTTTTAGACCCTCAAAGCTTATGAACTTTT